TAAGATGTTGGTGGGCATCACAATCTTGATGCGTACCTATTTTATTAGCATATAGTAATTATAAAAGTATTAAATATCCAGGCCGATTATCCTAGACATTAATCAAGCTTCAAGATGTTCTTTAGAGGACTAGCTGTCTTCGCTTTGTTAAGCTCTGTCTTTAGTCATAAACACCATCACAATGATAAACACCATCACAATGATAGGAGTGTTAATCTAGGATGCACTTGTAATGATGCTTTAACTAGGCAAGCTAATATCTTATTATGGTGAATATTTCTAACAGTCTTAGTTCTGATATAGCTACTACTAAAACTGAGAGTACGGGTGCAAGCGAATCTAGCACAAGCGCTTTCTCTTCTCAGCGCCCATCAACTCCTATTAATGGCTGCGCTAATAGCAATTATACTATTGCTCAGTCATTTGCGGGATGTGATAAGGAGGGTCCATCGAGTAGTATAATGTCTACGCTAACGATGACGGAGACTACTACGACGAGTTCGACTACTACTACTACTACTACGACGACGTCGACTACTACTTCCGCTAGTGTGGGCGCCACGGTAGCATTTTCAGAGGATACGTTTTACCGCCTCTCGAACGAGTATCTCAGCACCAACTACTCCCTCGCCATTAAGAACGAGAACGGCATTCTCTCACGCAAGCTCAACATGACCCTTAGTGAAGACGACGGCAAGCAATACTGGCAAATCAAAAGGATCCCCAACGCTGACGACCGGTACTGGTTTGCATGTCGATTTCTTGGGAAGGACGTCCGGCTTTTCTTTGACCCGTGGAGTGAGATTAATCCGCTTATGGCGGAGGCAGATGATACATCGACGGGGCAGCAGTGGATTGTTAAGAGCATGTCAGATGGGACGTGGGGGATTAGTAATGTGTTGTGGGGTTCGGGGGCGCAGTTGAGTACGCATATTGATACGCTTAGGTTGTTTATAGATATGAAGGTTAATACGAGGATGAAGTGGATTTTTACGGAGGCGGGGAAGATTACGGCAGCGGATGAGTTTTTATGAGGTGCAGGGGGTGAGGGCGGGAGGGTGGTACAAATATATGCTTTAGGTGTCTCAAATATTTTTTTGCCAAGTCTACGAAGTTTTTATTAACATATCACTATTCTTTAACCATTTCTCCCCTTGACATAAAAATACTGGAATTTTCAATAGGTTCACAAATTTAGAATCAATTAAATTCAAAGTACCGATATTTGTCTCGTTACGGGGTGCGTCTCTTGACGCAGGGATGCACGTTACTGTAACGGAAAGATTTGATAAATACTTTATTACTTTTTTCTCGTCTTCCCCTGTCTGGGCAGTTGTAGTCACGGGACCCAGGGCCGCCACCGCATTGGCGGCACTGGGCAGGAGCCTATACATCGCCCAAGTGCAGGTGAAGCTGGGCGTCAGGATCGCCATGAGCTTTAGCGTAGCTGGGCGTTTACCTGGAGTCTGGAACCAACTCAGGGCTTGAGCTGACGCCGGAAGCCGGCCTACAAATAGTACGTAGGTAACCGTTACCTACCGTTACCTACCCTTCGGCGCGCTGGCTCCGCCGAAGGTTAGGTAACCGTTACCTACCGTTACCTACCCTTCGGTGTGCTGGCTCCGCTGAAGGTTAGGTAATCGTTAGCTACCGTTTCCTACCCCCTTCGGCGCACTGGCTCCGCTGCGCTGATGACGTCAGCTGCCTCCAGTCTTGGACCAAGGTCCGAGCCATACCAGACTGGCTTATATATATCTGCCAGGCTGCCTGTACGTAGCTCTTTGAGCTACGTCTTGACAATACTGCCTGACCTGCCTATAGTCACTTACTGTCCGTAGCAATAGAACTGTTCACCCTGCCTGCTTGACGTTTACCAGGCGACCGCCTGCCCGCCGTGACAGTAAGGGGGCGGCCAAGCCTACCGGCCTAGCCCGCCAGCCAAGCTCATTGGCCAAGCTGACGAGACACAGTACTCTACTCCGAGCTTAGCTTTGTCACAAAGGTTTATTGCCACAACCTCTTCCCCAACACAACTTCCTCCCACCTTTATTCTGGTGTTGTTGAGCTGTGGCGTGTTGAACCACCAACTTGATTAAATAACAGATCGATAACGAGTTAATCTCCCTTCTGTTATTGAAGCAAAAATAGCCTCGATCACGAGTTAATCTCCCCGGCTTGATGCGATCAAGTAGGTGTTGAACATGCGCAACTCAACTACACCCACTCAAATACATACACACAATTTTACCAGTAAATCTTCTGTTCCCGTCATCTGACCCCAGCTAATCAACTGATGACAGTGAATGATATCAACTCTTGCTCTGCTCATAAAGCGAAAGACAGGCCATCAAATGACTATACTGTGCACGAGTGGGCAGAGCCACGCCGCATGCTAAAGAAGCTAAGAGATGCTATATACGGACACAAAACCGACATGTACACCATCACACACGAAGAAGTGAATCTCTGCCTCCGAGCACATATGGCAGATCCAAATCACCACGTTGATGCCAAACCGCCTCCAACTCCCAATCGCACAGTCTACGACTCTACACTGTTTTATGACAATAAAGATATACCCGTACTTCTTTTCGTGAAGAATGGCCTACAAGGCCTATGGACGAGGACCAACAGACCTCGACTGGTTACAGTTGGCCAGGACGCAATTAACTACAACGATATCTACAATACCCCTCCACCACTGAGGAACAAGGACACGACTCGCCATCCAAAAGATGACTACACCGAAGCTAAAAAGAAATGGGATCCGCTTAGGAAACCTGTCGGAGTCTTTCATTACGCTTTATGGGCTGCGACTGGAAACAAACCAGGCTCACGACAAAAGATTCCCACGCAATACAACCAATACTTATCAGCCGATTGTTATGGATCTCCCCAAGCAGCTTCTCGACAAGAAAAGGTTATGGAATTCTTTAGGAGCATCGCCCCTATTATGCAGTCATTAGCAGCATGGTTCCGCGCACTCGATCCTAAACAGTATGAAGCGTACAGAGCACATTTTCAACATCTCGTCGACGTCACACCTTTGAAAATTCTTGAAGTTAGCAACAGTCAATGTTGGCTTGGTCTTGCTGTTCTTCGCAACTTGCAGGTTCATAACCATAAAGACAAAGGAGATGTCAAAGACGGTTGGGTAGCGATGACGTGCTTTGGAGACTTCACGGAAGGGGGTGAACTTTGCTTACCTCAACTCGACCTCAAGTTGCACTTTCGACCTGGAGATGTGGTTTTCTTTAGATCTTCAGTGTTAGAGCATTTTGTCACAAAGGCAAACGCACAGCGGTCCTCATTTGTTTTCTTTTCTCATTCTTGTGCAGAGACACTGAAGCAGCCAAAAAATGCATAAGTCATCCCCTTATTCGTCACATCCCTCCTCATCCCCTTCCTGTGCGTCCTCCTCCGCGTCGTCCGCTCAGAAGACGCCCCGCACCACCGCCTCGGCACGAAACCGGCTGTGGCGTACATGTTCGCCGCTATATGGACACCGGTTATTATGCTCCTCCTCGGCGGCTTCACCATCGCGGCCGCGTTGTCGAAATACGATATCGCTAAACGAATCGCCACCATCGTTCTCTCCAAGGCTGGAACGCGCCTGCGCACAGTTCGTCGTAGCCTTCACAAGCATGTGGATCTCTAACGTCGCCGCGCCAGTTCTATGCTTCTCCATCATCTAGCCTATGCTCCGCAACCACCCCTCCGACTCCAACATGTCCAAAGCACTTATCCTGGGTATCGCCCTCGCCTCAACCGTAGGCGGCATGCTCTCCCCCATCGCTTCCCCGCAGAATATCATCGCGCTTGCTATCATGTCCCCGCAGCCTTCGTGGGCGGTCTGGTTCTTCATCGCTATCCCCGCGGAGGTCGGTGAAAGTCCCGTTCTCGGGGATCCAGTGGTTCATCTCTTTAGTCACGCTTGCTACCATTATTCTATGGTGCGTGTCTCATCAGCTGGAGCATGTGTTGGCAATATAGGCGTTGTTGCCATCATTCCCCTTGTCCTCGAGAGCAAGTACGACATCCAACTCGATCGGCTTGAGAAGCGACAACAGCATATCGCCACCGTGGTGGACGCCATCGTCATATGGGTCATATAAGCAAAGCATTCTGGCGAGACGAAGCATCCGCCTGGGTTGTCGCCATCAGCTGCATCGAATCCAGCAGCGACGATAACAAGGTCTAGGTTGAACTCCCGGGCGATGGGCATGATGATTCGTTGGAAGGCGGCGACATACTCGCTGTCACCCATGCCCTGCGCGCCCCATGGGATGTTGATATTTCTCCCGATTCCCGTGCCAGCACCGACGTTTTCCAGCCCTCCGTCAGACCCCGCCATATTGTGTGGGTGGCTGGGGTAGAAGGACCCCTTCTCAGACACATGGACTGATGTGCAGAGCACGTCTGGGTCGCTGTAGAAGATGTTCTGGGTTCCGTTCCCATGCTGGATATCCCAATCAAGAATCAAAACCTTGTGACAGGTTTTGGGAAAGTCAGCCTGGCAGACCCGTGCTGTGATGGCGATATTGTTGAGGAAGCAGAAACCCATGGCCTTTTCGCTCTTGGCATGGTGACCCGGTGGCCGAATGACGGCGATGGCGTTCTTCACGGTCCCTGCAACAACGTTCTTGCAGGTCTCGATTGCTCCGTACTCATAATACATCGATAACTTGACTTGACCGCCTGGCATAAGTCTCGTCTGAGCCCGAGTCATCTTCCATATCACTGTTGACAGCCTCATCCAAGTCCTCCTTACGCCCGATTATTTTATAACCAGCACCAAAATCTTCAAAACTTCTTGGTGTAATTTGGGCAACTGTGTCGTTTTATTTTAGGTATTCCACATTGTTTCTCACTATGGAACTCTGCCACTATACATTTTATAGCTAGGCCGCTTTCTTTGTGTGAACATGTCGTAAGGATATAGCACATATCCGAGGTTCTTGTATGAAAGCACTTCCCGTCCTATCCCTCTCAGTCTAAAAGGCCTTCTGGTGTAAGGGTAGCATCCCTAGTTCTGAATTAGGAGGTTGTGGGTTCGACCCCCACTAGGGCCCCTCGCAGACAATTCTCTGACTTTGTCTCTAAGCAAACCAGATAATTGTCTGCAAATACTTATTTTTTCTTCATCCCTTTGTTTCCCCCTCCGCCTATCCTAAGGGGTTTATATAGCTCCCCTCCCTCTATAATATATATATAGAGAGAGAGACTATCTAAACGTTAAGGTAACATAGTCTCATCTGTAGATTCCTAAGAGATAATGGCAAAAGGGTAATGTTAGGGGCTTATTTTGTGCAGCTTAGTGCTGCTATTTATGTGGATGGCGTTTGGATAAAATTGATGGCGATGTTGAAGTTTTTCTTTCTCAGGCACAGTATACAACAGCCTAGGATGGTGCTATGATGATGTTAGTAGCCTGTAGCGGAATGGTTCTATATGTAGAAGTCTACTTACTATGGTAGGCAAGAGTAAATAAAATATGTCTGTTGACCGCGTTCGTTAGATGTTATCTAGCGGCTGACTGCTTGTTGTTTCTTGTGATGATTACAAAGGCCTTGTACCTAACTTACCCTTGTAAGTTACCGCAGCAAGTAGAAGTTATCACTCGGAATGGTTTATGCAAAACGATCCGGCTATCATCAGTAATGGTCACCACACCATACCTAAAATTTATGCAAGAAGTATATGGGTCACATAAACGTTATTTCATTTTTGTCTCTATCTCTATCAGGCCTTTTAATCGCAGACACCAGCATTCTATAGCTAGCTTGCGCTCCTGAACAAACTTATTTTCAAAATCAAATCCACTACATTACTCTTCAACAATGCGAGGAAGACGGTGCGGTTGACCAGTCATAGGTGTTCTCCACCAAAGGCAATTTTCTCTCATCTGTGGGGTTGTTTCTTCAAGTATGTCCCCCCTCTGACTGCCTCTAAGCTCATCAGTGCCGAAGTATGACTTAGAACCAAGCCTTTTAAGTTCCTCAGGTATTTTCCTAGCCAGGCGTAATGTAAGTGAGTCAATGGTTACATCTGAAATTTTCACCCTAGCCCCAGTAGCGTCTTCAAAATGAAGTGGTCGAAGTGCATAATGATGGTCCTGATGGTAGAGATATGCCGAGCGCAAGCTCTCTTCTGGGCATGAGAATAATCTTCTCCAGTCCACGAAGTTTGTGCTGACGTTGCTGACAGCGTCATGGATGTTTAAAATAACTCTCGAGTTTGTGAACAGTACCTCCTTAGTTGTCTTGTTGTACGTGTGAGGTCTTAGAGAGTCAATGAAAATCTGACTATGAGAGCGAATGTCGCCACTTTTATCTCCTGTCATAAGTAGTATATATACACACTGGTTCTCCAATGTATCATCCATGTCGTAAATGGAGTGCAAGTCCCGGCCAAGTAGTATAGGATTGAGACCGTGGTTTCGAACAATTGATGTCCAAGACTCATTTCGAAATATTGCATCCCAGACACTGTTATGCCTTCCTTGGAATATTAATTTTGACATAATGAACATACGTAATGGTTAAGTGCTCATCTTGAAGGAAATTCTAGTTCATATAATTAGTTGGTGTTCTTGAGACTTGGTGGCCGTTAGAATTTTGATGGCCATCACCGTGTTGATGGCCATCAGAATGTTGGCGGTGTTCGATTTCGCAAAACTAATATCTGTCTATATTATACCCTCTTCTTATTCTTTTACCACAGTCGTTCAATAATTCTTAAAGCCTCGGTTTAATTTCAATCATGAAGACAACTGCATTGTACCTGATTATAATCTCTGCTAGCCTTGCTATAAGCTCAACTGTTAGTCCTCTTGGAATCAAAGTCTGGACAGGGCTAGACTGTACGCATACCCAATCTAATGCTCGTACACTGCTAACTATCCTTAAGGTACAGGACTTATGACTGAGGCGCCAGACTTATCAGGGGTATACGGGTACAACATTACTTTCGAACCTAGAGAGCCTTTTTCTAGCTTTCAAATTAGTCGCAACCTTCAAGGGAGAGAACAACTTGATCTTAGCCGGGATTTGGGATCAAAGGAGTGTGAGCTCTTTCTGCACTCTTATTGGCCACTGGGTAAAAATAATATAACAACCCCTGGATGTTATAATTTTAGCGCATTTTGGTGCGTTCGAATATGGCTCAACTAGATAGAGGAGCATTAGGCCGCACACAGCAGTAGAGTAAGTTAGCTAGGAAACATTCTCGAGGCATTACTGACACAGTTGCGTGCAATATCAGCTTCCCCTTCATGTGCAGCTGCTGGAACTTTTTGTGGATTTCACTCCGAGCCTGAGAATAGGGTGTAACGCCAGCTCCTGGTGTTGGACTCGTGAAGGCTTAACTTGCGTTGGGTTGGTTGGTGAGGCAGGGGATCAGACACAAAGGCTTCGTTCTCAAATATGCACGTTACTAGTACGTATAAGATACTGTATTGAGTTGAGCACGAAGCTCCTATAACTAAGAAACTATTCTACTTATATAAAGAGTGTCATGCTCAGGGTCACCATGGATCACCGCGATCCATCGTGGTCCTGGCTCACGCTGGATCGCCGTGATCCTGTGTGGTCCATCGCACGTGATTCGGTTAGGTGCCGTTAGCTAACCGTTAGCTAACCAACCACCTACCCTGCCGCCATGCAGGCCGAGCCATGTTCGTAACATAGGGGCGGCGGCCAACACCAGCCAAGCCCACCGGCCAAGCTGGTGAAACGTAGATTAGTTTAGGGGTAGAGTTCTACAGTACAAAGAGTAGTTACAGTAGCTAGATCAATGGAGATATACATTCACTTGTGATCAATTAGGCCCTACTCATGCTGTTACCTAAACTATCATTTTACTATTCTACGTGCTGACAGAATGTGAGAATCATATCACTCAGTGATCCAAGACAGGTAAACAGCATGGGTTTCAACGGGCGATCAGAGTGTATTCGTAGGTAGCTGTCAAACTAGCCGCTGGCTTCCTATTGAAGCCAGCTCCTTGCTACTTATATTGTCTGTGTGCGCTAGGCGAGGGCAGAGAGCTGCGGGGGCCTTGGTGGACCCAGTGTCAAAGCGCTGGCATCGCGATGGCTAGAGGATAGCTAACCGTTACCTAACGGTTAGATAACGGGCAGCTAACATCACGTGCTACAGAAAGGGGTCGGTAGACTGTTGGAGGAAGGGCCGGGATACGGGTGCCGTAGTGACCGGAACTTCTGACTTTTGGCGCAACGGGACAGGAAGCCTCACAGTAGATACAGTATATAGAATGAATAGGGCGATTGAATTACTATCTAATCTACGGGTCTACGTACGCTATTTGTATTCCTGGGGGAAACCCCCCAAAACACTGATAAGCTGGGCTTTTGGATCAGTGGCTTCTAATAGTGGGGCGCCACTATCTTACCCGTAAATCAACTGGGAAGTTGGACGGTCTCACGGAGATAACCCGTCATTTTAGGCGTAAAAGCCCACCGTATCCCACGGGAATGTCCGTTTTCCCCAACATAGACTCCTGATCGTGACACAGAACCACCAAGCGTAGACTTACACTTTTACTTAAGGACGTCCGTTTCGATTCTAGGGACGCCAACCCAAAACCAGCTGAAGTTCTGATGCTTTAATCACCTGCAGCAAAGTATAACCAACCAAGACGTGATGGCCATCATCATGCTAATGGCCATCGGAATGTTGGTGGCCTTTAGTTGCACGAATGTCACAATTGTCTATCTGCATTGTATACTCTTCTTAATACTTTCAGATAATACTATAGATCTCAGTTTGGTTTACGTCATGCAGTTTAATGTATTATACCTGGTTATAGCCTCTACTAGCGTTGCTATAAGCTCAGCTGTTAACCCTCGCGCAACTAATTCTTGGTTAAATGTCACTAATGCTTCAACGGATATTAACTCTCCACTCGATTTCACAGCCTGGACAGGACCAAACTGTAAGCAGAACCAATCTAATGCACACAACAATATGTTGTTTAACCATCTCTTAGGTACAGGGCATATGTTTGAGGTTGGAGATATATCGAGGCGGTATAAGTGGCAGATTATACTAGCGAGTGCTAACGCGCCCTTTTCCAGCTTCAGACTAAGTCGCCCACTTAAAGAGAGAGAACAACTTGATTTCAGTCAAACATTGGAATCAAACAGTTGTGGGCGCATTTTGCACTCATATTGGCCCCGAGATTCAACAGGTAAGGGTTTGAGAAAAATGAAATAACCCAAAGCTAATATACAACAGCTGGATGTGCTAATTTGAACACATTTGGATGCCTTCGCATCTGGCTGAACTAGTGGGCAGAGCATGAAGCTCCATACAGCAAAAGAGCAACTAGAAAAATATTATCGACGGATTACTAGCGCTACATACCTAGATTTTGAGATTGTTCGGGGAATATCCAGATCGGTGTTACGAACACGGACCGGCCTGCAGGGCGGCAGGGTAGGTGGTTGGTTAGGTAGCGGTTAGCTAGCGGTTAGCTAACCACACCTAACCAAATCACGTGCGATGGATCACGCAGGATCACGGTGATCCAGCGTGAGCCTGAGCATGACACTCTCTATATAAGTAGATAGCTTTCATAGTATAGGAGCTTCGTGCTCAACTCAATACAGTATTTCATACATACTAGTAACGTGCTATAACTTGAGAACGAAGCCTTTGTGATTGATCCCCTGCCTCATCCACCAACCCAACGCAAGCCAAGCCTTCACGAGTCCAACACCAGGACCCGGCGTTACAATCGGTACAGCGGCCCACAGCCAACTCTATGTGGCAGCTACGGTACCTAGAGTATGATTCCCTAGGCGCACCAGGGAAGAGCAGTATCACAGTATATAGCGCAGTATTACAGTAATTTAATCAATTGTCCTATCTATTCTAATGAATCTACGTAGTATTTATGGCATCTGAGGCTTCCAAAGCCGTAGAGGAGGCCCCTCACCAGCGTGCAGAGTTCTCACTTGCCCTGGTGAGGACAATAGGACCGCCGACTCCACGGTGGGGATTACCGGCTTTCCTGGGCCAAAGGCCCGCAACCCCACGGCCAATGGCCC